TTTGAAGCGTGGGAAAGAAATTATAAATCAGGAAGAGTAACATTTTGACCACTTACAATATACAATACTAAAATTGATATTTCTGATGAAGAAACTAAATCACCCATCCGTCACAAAAATTCCAAATTACTTCAGGTCAAAATTTGCTTATTATTTACTAACATAATTCAAGATATTGTTGAATATATAACTGATATAATCTTGGAATTCTTGTTGTTCCTTAAATACCCCTTTTGCTTCAATCAACATGATCCAATTCGAGAAACTCCTAATGTATTTGTTGAATTTATATTGTTATTTAAAAGAGCTTGTATACAACTCTATAGAAATAGGGCACAATTTTTTTTTTTGATATACTGCTACATCTTGCATATGGAATCTTTATTTCTTTAATGGTTAGTGATGATGACTACATTGGAAAAGCACCTATAGAGATATGCGAGATTATGCCATTTATTCATATACCTATTTGCTTGCAAGCTAAGGATCTCATTCAGGTAACTCTTTTTTTTTTAAATATTTATATGTTTAGTTTTTATCCACGATAATCTATTTTTTAGTTCGTTGGAGTGTTCATGGCACTTGTTGTGACATCTGCAGGGATTAGTGGTATTGTATTATTTAATTCATTTTTCAAAAAAAAAAAAGAAGCTTTTATCAACTTGAAGTTTTTTTTTAAAACATAGCTGGAAGCTCAACATTTGGTTATGAAAAAGTAGTTTACTGGCGAGACACATCAGCAGGGATGCGCACTATTCCGTATTTTCTTGCTAAAATAATCGCCAATATTCCTCGTTTAATTATTGCAGCACTTGTATTTTCATTAGCATTTATTATATTTTACTCGAATAGGGCTAGTTTCTTGCAGATTTATATTATTGTTTTGATTATTTATATCAATGCATGGGCGATGGGTAAGATTCAAAATACGAATGAATCATCAAACATATAAATATATATATTTATAAAATTTTTTCAATTAGGGTATTTTATATCAGTGATAGTACCAAAGGAGAAAATAAGTCTTTTTGGGATTGGGTTTGCACTTGCTTGGGGTATGCATTAAGTTGTTACACTCCTAATTTGGAAGATGTAAAAAGTGATAAAAGCTTTGCCTATATAAGATGGTTATGGGATGTAAGTATTTATGTATCATTTTATTTTATTTTATTTTTATTTTTAGTTTTTTTTTATTTAAAGTATTACTTCTAGATTTCAGCACCAAGGTGGGCAATTGAAGCATTTTATCTTAAAGAATTAGAACCTAGACCGTATGTATCATTTCAAATATAGAGTACTTTGAATACATTTAATATTTGAGTATTTTGAATATATTCTGATTTTACTTGACAGATGGGATGAAATTAAGACTGAACCACTGAGACATACATACAGTTTTGATAATTATACACAATGTTTATTAAATATTTTATCAATTGCACTTGGATGGGCTGTGCTTGCATTTTTCGCTATAAAGTTGGCTAACAGAGACAAACAGAAATAAATTGATAAAATGAAATAAATAGTATATTTAGACACTCGTTATGCTGACTTCTATCCTCTTATTTTTCCTTTTATTGAAAGTTTCTAATATTTCAATCAAAGATCTTATGAGTAATGAAACTATATCTTAAATATTGAAGAAAAAAATGTAATATACAGCGATAACAAGTATAATAGATAAAAAAATATCGATTCAAGTATAATTTTAATAAAAGACACTAAATAAACAACTTAAATTTATTATCTTTATTATCCTATTAATAAATACATAATTTATCACATTATTTTAACATAATAGAATAAAGCTCATAAAATCGTGAAATGCCAATTTGCCAAATATGCAGTTGCCGTTCGATAATCTAATATTTACGAACTATTTTGAGTGTGTTGACCGATGACCTTAAATGACCTGTGACCTTTATGACCGTCATAGTTCATTTGATCATAACGAAGGTTTATGACTTTATGACCTTTTAATGTAAGGATCATAGTAAAGGAGTTTTTTATTCATGTTTGATATGACTAAGATCATATACTGTATCCTATCGTAAATAAGCACCCATCGCAAATAAGCACCCATCACGAATAAGCACTAAGGGTGCCGAAATTCAAAATAATCAAGTTGCAATTTCCTTTTTAGAATTTCGGCACACACGTAATTAAAATTGTCGATCATGAATTGGCACCCCGTGACTTGATTGTATTTATTATCGTAGATTGGGCAGAATATCATTTTTGATGATCCTATCACCCGCTACTATGTTCTATGTTCGGTCAAAAAATGGTATGACTTAATCATCGGTCAACCCGAAAAAATGGGCAGAAAAATAAATTGAATGTTTCACAGATTAAAAGCGTTATATATAGTCTCTTGGTTTTGGTTATGTTATGGTTGTGTTTATGGCTATGATATGTTATTATTATAGATTTAGATTGATGATTTCTAGATTTTTCAATTTTAGTATTGTATATTGTAAGTGGTCAAAATGTTACTCTTCCTGATTTATAATTTCTTTCCCACGCTTCAAA